GCTCAAGATGGTTAAGAGGTAGAAAGTAGCAACTCCAACTGTTATAAGAGACGTAATGGTCAATGTTTTAATGGTGGAAAGAAAAGTCACTTTGCAAGAGATTGTAGATACAAAAAGGGTCAGTGCAAGGAAATGTTGCTACCTCAAAAAAGAAAGGAAAGCTTAGTGAAGAAGAATGGGAACTACAAGCTTCTTGTGCAAAAGTGGAGATAGAGGCCAAAGTTGAGGCTAACCAAGTAGCTCTATTAGCTTCTAACCAAAGCAAAGTAGACTATAGCAAAAATTGGATAATTGACTCTAGAGTTGCTAGCCACATGACAAGAGATGAGGAAAAGCTATGGAACCTATTAGAATAAAAAGGAAATAGAGTGGCAGTTACGATAGAAGATACTCGGCTTTTGATCAAGCAAATTAGAGATGTAGTAATAACACCAAGCACCAATTCTCAACAAGTAAAGTTGAAAAATGTTTTCCACATATCTAGGATGAAAAAGAATTTGTTGTTTATTGCCCAACTTACAACTCCTAGAAACTATGTGGTGTTCAGACCATAGGATGTGAAGGTGTATCGATAACTAAAGATTGAAGGCACGCCCATCATGAAAAGAGAAAAGAAGAATTCTGTCTACTTGATGTCTACTAAAACAGCATAGGTGGACAAGACTAGCAAGAATGATATTGTTGACTTGTGCCATGCACATCTTGGGCATGTTAACTATCTTAGATTGCAAGTGATAATGAACAAATCCATGGGGAAAGGCCTACCTAAGTTGGAAGTACACAAAGATGCTATTTGTGCTAGTTGTCAATATAGGAAAGCACATCAACTTCCATATCAAGATTCAAAGTTCAAGGCCAAGGAATCATTGTAGCTAGTACATTTTATGTCTTTAGTAAAGTCAAACAATCGTCAATTGGTGGAGCACACTACATGGTGACACTTATTGATGACTACTCAAGGTACATATGGGTGTACTTCATGAAGGAAAATTAGAAATTTTAGAAATGTTTAAAAGCCTTAAAGAGGAAGTTGAACAGACAATTGGTAAGAAAATTCAGTGCCTTCGCACAAACAATGGGGGAGAGTATACATCAAAGGAATTTTCATATTACTTGCAAGATAATTGTATTCGACGACAACTAACTTGACCATATACTCCTCAACAAAATGGAGCAGCTGAATAGAAGAATAAACACCCTTGCAATGTTGCATGCTAAAAATGTGACACCTAGAGTTTGGGCAAATTGCATGAAAACCATAGCCCATGTGATTAACAAGCTCCCTCAAGCTATAGTGGGATTTATATCTCCTTTCAAGAAGTTATGGAATATCAAGCCATTAGTGAGCCAATTTTGAGTCTTTGGATGTGTGTGCTATGTGATTGTTCCAGAAGATCAAAGGACCAAGTCTGATAAGAAAGCAATTAGATGCATCTTTCTTGGGTATGATGACCAAAGGAAAAGGTGGAGGTGCTGTGACCCAAAATACTAGGCGTTGTTGTGTTTCCAGAAATGTTTTGTTTGATGAAGCATCTTCTTGGTGGTCTCCACAAGATTTAATGTTGCCAAATTCCAAGGAATTAGAAGAAAAGGTACAAGAAAAGCTTGGAGAGAATATTTGCAAGCTATTGGATACTCAAGAAGTTATAGAAAAGGAAAAAGGGACAACTTCTGAAAGAATAGCGAGTCCATGGCAAACAAGAGTACGAGAGCCTATGACAAAAGAAACAAGACAAGGTGAAGCAAAAAAAGCAAAACAACAGTCTAAGCAGCAACTAAGGCTCTCCACTTGAGAGTGAAAGCCAAATCCTAAGTATGCTAATATTGCTTTTATTGAAGCAAGTCGAGTAACAGAATTGGAAAACTGAGGAAGCTGCATAAAACATTGAATGGAGAAAAGTAATGGAAGAAGAGATAAAGGCTTTAAAGTAAAATCAGACTTGGGAATTGGTACCCAAGCCAAATGATGTAAAGCTAGTATCTTGCAAATAGGTCTACAAGGTTAAGACTCGGCCAAACGAGAAGATAGAGAGATATAAGGCCAGACTTGCTGCTCAGGGGTTCTCCCAACAATATGGGTTAGACTATGATGAAATTTTCAGTCCAATGGCTAAGATTACAACTGTTTAAGTACTAATCGTTCTAATTGCAAGTGAATCATGGAAGTTGTGGTAGATGAATGTGAAGAATACATTTTTGCATGGAGAAATTGATAGAGTGAATTATATGGAGCAACCATGTGGATTGGAAGACAATAGGCATTTAGAGTATGTCTACAAATTAAAGAAGACGCTGTATGGACTCAAGTAGGCATCAAGAGCATGGTATGGCAAAATTTCAAAATTTATTGTTCAAAGTGGGTATTCAATGACAGTTGCAAACTCAAGCGTATTTTTCAAAAATCAAGGCAATAAAATAGCAATTATGCTTGTCTATGTGGATGATTTAATTGTCACCGGAGATGATATTGAAGAAATTCTTCAAACAAAGGAGAACTTGTCAGTACGGTTCCAAATGAAGGAGTTGGGAGAATTAAAGCACTTTCTTGGACTTGAAGTGGATCGAACAAAAGAAGGCATATTTTTATGTTAGCAAAAGTATGCATCAAACTTATTAAAGAAGTTTAGGATGCTTAAGTGTAAGCCGATCTCAACACCAATGGATATAAATGTTAGATTTTGCTCTTATGAAGGAAAAGACTTAGCAAGTGCTGCCATGTACTAGCAACTCGTCGAAAGCTTAATCTATCTAACTTTAACAAGGCTAGATATAGCATTTTTAGTAGGAGTGATGAGCAGATTTATGCAAAATCCTAAAAAGCCATACTTGGAAGTAGTACGCCGAATTCGTAGGTATGTCAAAGGAACATTGGATTATGACACTTTATACAGGAGTGGCACAAAGTGTAAGGTGGTTGGCTATTGTGATGTTAATTATGCTCGACGTCATGATACAAGGAGATCCACTACTAGTTATGTCTTTAGTTTGGGATTTAGAGCAGTCTCATGGTGCAGCAAGAGACAACCTACTATTTCTCTATCAACCATTGAGGCAGAGTACAAAGTAGCAGTTGTGGCAACTCAAGAAAGCACCTAGCTTATGCAATTAATGGAAGATTTGAAGCAATTAGGTGATTATTCAATAAAATTATATTGTGATAATCAATGAACAATTCAGCTAGTAGAAAATCTAGTGTTTCATGTCATGACAAAACAAGTTGAAGTTCATTATCACTTCATCAAAGAAAAGGTACTACAAGAGGAGATAGAAATGCAGGCTACAAAAACAAATGAGCAAGTAGCAGATATATTCACAAAAGGGCTCAATGTTTGAAAGCTTGAAAAGTTTCATGAGCAGCTTGGGATGATTCCAAGAACCAAAGTTGGTGCTGAAAAGGAGTGTTAAGATATTCATCACCGACTTGGATCTAGAAAGTGATGACATAAAAGTCTTCTAGGAGCAAATTCTTTACTGCAAAGTAAATTGAAGCCACACAAGGATATATGATAGAGAGAAAGCCATGTTAGTTGTATCTAGATTTTACATGGATAGTAAATTAAAATATTGTAAACTAAAAAAACACTATAGAAGATGCACAGTCAATTTACATCATCGACTTTTATGAGTATAAAAAGAAGAATGGAAGAAGTAGCCAGCTTTTGTGTATGTGTTTTAGAGAGAGAGAGAAAAAATGCACAAAAGAGTATAGTGTGGGTCCAAAGTGAGAGTCAGAGTGACGTGAGTCAACTAAGTATGCTTGTATTTTAGTAATTTCAATACAAAATTCAGTCTTGTATAGAAAAAGTATTCTACTCTTTCCTCTCTCGCTCAACAAATCATCTATTCCATCAAGCTTGTTCATTAACATCGAATGGTCAATACAAATATCAACTGTAGCTCTGAAATAGATATCTTCAGCAGAGTAACCTTATGTTGATTTGGGTATTCACATGAATGCAAGTACATTCTTATCTTTGGATTTTTCCATATTGGGTGTACAACCCACCATACTAATGGACTAGCCATGGTTTTTATTATGTAGAGGTCTAACAACACAATTCAGCCCCTTATAGCTTTAAGAGCTCTTACCTAGCTTAGTACCTTAGGGATCTTTTTAAATATCTTTCTTTCTTTACTCTATGTTCTTTAGGGGTTTTTAGCTAATTTAACAGTTTAGATATCATATCAATAGATTCTATGTATTATTTTAAACAATGCATTCTTTTATGCATATAACATATACATCCCTTTTTTTTTAATAGTAAAAGATTGTATGTGCATATAACACATATTTCTCTGTATTACCTCATATAAACCTTACACTATTAAGTCCCAATTAAATGAATTCTTTTATGCATTTTTTTACTATTAATTATTTGTAGTATAGTATTGATATATATGCAAAACCCTACTAAATAGTCCAAATTAACATATGAGCCCTTAAACTAAAAGTATTACAAATAAGCCCTCAAACCTTTCTAAAGATGCAAATCAACCCTCATCATTAACAACCCAACCCATGTGATCTCATACCTTTTATTCTTTTCTTTCTTTCCGTCCACTTTTACATATGGATTCTAACGTGGATAAGAAGGACTCCTTTGGGCTGTAAAAATCTACCAAAATAGTTCATGTGGCTTAAAAACACTAAATAAAAAAAGGGGGTTACTTGGATCATTTTAACAAAATTTTTACCACTCCATAGATACCTTAATTCGCACCAGCATTTATGTAGAAAAGAATAGATAGCAAAAGATCACATGTATTGGGCAATTAACGATAAGGATTGATTTGCATTTTTTGAGGGGTTTAAAGGATCATTTGCATCATAGAATGGGTTTGAAAGTTTATTTTCAAGCTTTTAGTTTAGAGGCTCACTTGTTAATTTGGGGTAAGTCTAAGGGCTAAGAAGGAGTTTTGCCTCACTACTTTGGCTAACTTTTTCCTGCTGCACTTTTTAACTCCGTAGCTTGCACAGAACTTGCCCGATATGTCCACTACTCTGCTTCTGTTTAGCCTTTCCCCTATTGATTTCCCGAAAGTTCCAAAATCAGAATAACAGATTCTCTACCTTTTTGGTCTCCGTTAATGGCGTACGCTACACTGTGAGAAAGTCATTACCGTGTCTGGAAATTTCAGTCTTCCGATCCTCTTCCTCATCCTCTTATTCCCTTCAACACGTCGAATTCCGGTTCTAATCCGGCGATCGGAGCGAATTTCATGTCCTATTTGACAACAAGTAAATGCTTTTCCTTTGATTGTTTCAATCTCCGTGTTTCTGATTCCATTTTAGTTGTAGTTCTCAGGTTTAAGCTTGACTGTGTATTAGCATTTTCTCGGAAAATTTTGGATTGGAAAATTTTGTTTTAGGACTATGGGACATATTTTCTTGTTAGAATTTCATTTCTAGCTTGGAGTAAGTTCTTGATGGTAAAATTTTACTTTTTTCATGAGTATAAAATTAGGTGGGACTTGTGATGATGATAAAGTTTTCATTTTGTTTGGTTAAATTATTGTTGAAGAAGGCAAACTGGTTGCAGTTGTGAGGAAGCAAAATGGGGTATTATACTATTACTGAATTTGGTGGAGAATCCAATATTGTGATTATTTGGTAGTCGGTACCTATTGAATGTGTCGGTTGTGTCTTCTATCTTTGTGGACCAGTGGTACTCGTAAGGAATTATGTAAGTTGTTCATGTTATAACAATACGGTTTGATTTTTCAGGCATAATTAATTAAAATCACTGAAGTAGAAGCAGCATTTAGAAGAAAAGATTAAGGTAATTAAATTATTTAGGTTAGTTAGTTGAAATGGTTTTGGCATATCTTTCGATTCCAGCTTAGGATTTTTACTGCATATCTAACACCACATCTTATTCATTACTTTTTGTTGTTGGTTATGTAGGTTCTATATATTGCATTTGGAGGTTGAAGTATTTTCTATACTTCCCAGACAACTTTCGCAGAATTCTGCCTGATTTGAGTCATTAGAAATACTCCAACTTTTTGGTGTTAATTTGTCAACTGGAAATGGGTGCTTTTTGCTGCTGTCCATGTGGTGATGAATTTGAAGAATATGCTCACCCAAGCAATCCAATATATAGGCATTGCATGTGCCCAAGATTCTTCTTCTACCAGCTATTCTCTGGGGTATGCAAATGTCTGTAATTGCTAACAGTTTTCCTCTGTTTACATTATAGTTTTCTGCATAGATATGTTTCATTGATTGACTGGCTAACTTGCACTTTTTCTACCATACATGTCTATAAAGTTTGTCAATATTTTTACTGAGGTATGAAGAAGACACCAACACTATTTTGTTAATTGCTTTGTGTCTTGAGATACATAAAATAGGGTGCTTATCAAAGCACATTATGTATTAAAATTCAAAAACAAAGTATTTAGATGCCAAATTAGTTGTGAAGAGACTGTCCAGTCAAGTGGTAAAGAGATTGTTTGGTCAAACTGTTTTTCTCTTTGTCCTTGTGTATTATGGTTTGAAAGATATAGGATAAGTAGCTCTTTTTTTTTTTTTTCACAAAAACCTTCTTGGTCAATAGTTGGATGATTTTGAGCCATCTATTCTTGTTAAGTTGCTATAATCTTCTAAATAGTTTTCACACTGAGCATTTTTCAGATTTTCCAAAAAATTGGATATGTATGTGTGTTTCATAGTCAATAGATAAATGTTAAGTTGCTCTGATGGTATGCAATCCCTTGTGTCCTGTATCTCATTGTGATGTAATGGATTCTCTTTCTCGTCTCTGTGCATCTGCAGTACAGTGCAATGTTTCACAGACTGGAAGGACGACCAATACCAGTTCAAGTAGCTACTTCTCTGTCGGTAACACCAATGGCCACAGCATTACCCGATAATTCCCTGAATGAGACTCATCTTACAGTGTCCAGACCTGCTCCTTATGATGCTGATCAGAGATACACACGCTTGCAGCGTGATGGTTTGGTCTCTAGGCGTGATAAGTCACTGACTCATTTTCAAGAAGATCCTCAACCACTGAGAAGAAATGTGAGCAATTCTGGTATAGAGTCACTGGGTCTGGGGAAGAAATGGATTGGAGTTAACACAGAAGAAGACTGTAAAGGTGGCCACCCTGACTCATCAGAGAAGGCTTTGGCAACAAAAATTGCATATGGACTTACATATGTGCAAACTTCTGAAGATGAAGATGTCTGCCCTACTTGTCTTGATGGTAATTTTTCATATAATGCTTATAATGACGTGTATATCTTCTGGTGGTTGCTTTTCAAGAATGTGTCGATGGTCATAAAGTTATGTGTGGCAAAAATGTCATTAGTTAGATTCTAACAGATTTTTTTCAGTTGTATTCATTTTAAGTGATTAATTTCTTGCAGAATATACTCCAGAAAATCCCAAGATCACAACACGCTGCTCACACCATTTTCACCTTGGTTGTATATATGAATGGTTGGAAAGGAGTGAAAATTGTCCTATCTGTGGCAAGGTATTTACAGTTATATTTTTCTGTAATCCTGATTGCAGGGTATTTTGAGCTGATGGTGTCTAAAGTTTAGTGCTAAATTCTATTAAAATTATTGATGATGGCTAGTGCTGAGGTGGGTGGGGGGGTTCACCATATGGTGTCAGAATCATTATCTCAG